CGGGTGACAAGTTGTTGAGAAGACGAGCTTTGTCCCAAGCTTTCTCCATAATGTCTTCCAAAAGTAGCTCAAAAATTTTGAGTCTCGATCAGATACGATGCTTCTTGGCAGCCCATGCAAGCGAACCACTTCCTTGAGTATATATATTATATATATATATAGCAAATATATATTATACATATATATATATGAATTCGAATATATATATATATATATTTCAATTGATTTTTCAATTAAAATCCAAATTTTCATTCGATGTCCGTTGGAATTTTTTTTTAAAATTTTGAAAAAAATTTCCAACCGGCATCCGTTGGAATTTTTTTTTAAAAAATTTCCAAAAAAAATTCCAACCGGTATCCGTTGGAATTCCGTTGGAATTTTTTTTAAAAATTTCCAAAAAACATTTCAACCGGCATCCGTTGGAATTCCGTTGGAATTGTTTTCTAACAAACATCCGTTGGAACTCCGTTAAAAATTTGCAACCGATTTTTCCAACGTTAATCCGTTGAAAATTTCCAACGGATATCCGTTGGAAATACCGTTGGAAATTTCCAACCCAATTTTTCAATTGAATACGTTGAAAATTCCGTTAAAAATTTCCAACGGGTGTTTCCAACGAATACCCGTTGGAAATACCGTTGGAAATTTCCAACCCAATTTTTCAATTGAATACGTTGAAAATTCCGTTAAAAATTTCCAACGGGTGTTTCCAACGAATACCCGTTGGAAATTTTCAACGGAATTTTAACGGAAATCGTCGTTGAAACGCCGTTGAAAACCGTTGAAAATCCGTTGGAAAATCCGTTGGAATTCGAGGATTTTTTTGTAGTGAGCGGAGTGTCGAGATGCTCACTATCTTTTTCAGCACATGAAGAAATAAGAATGCATTTGATAACAAACTTTACCGATTTCAGCAAATATGGGAAAGGTTCTTATAAAAACTTTTCTATTTGGCTAGACAACATCGGTCCCATGGGTTCCAACCAACGATTTCTATCCCGGAGTGTCGAGATGCTCACTATCTTTTTCAGCACATGAAGAAATAAGAATGCATTTGATAACAAACTTTACCGATTTCAGCAAATATGGGAAAGGTTCTTATAAAAACTTTTCTATTTGGCTAGACAACATCGGTCCCATGGGTTCCAACCAACGATTTCTATCCCACAAGCCATTCTAGACAATCCTAAAGGTCAAGCAATTAATTCAACAAAACTTAACCACGTTCAACGGATCACAATGTTTTCAGGACGTTTCTACTCTCTCATGCCATAGATCATCATATCAATGCTCAAAAAGGTTTTATGCACATGATCTTATATGTCCTAAACACTATATGAGAATGCACAATCCTAACAACTATATGATCCTAATGCATCCTATATGCCCATGCAACTAAAATGTGAAAATAAAAGGAAAAAATGCATGCAACACTACTCTATATGGATATGGTTTGGCGTTAGACGAATCCTCCCCCAGACATGAACTGGACACCGTCCTCGGTGTCAATTCTCGGCTAGTAGAGGCAACCAATAACATGAGTCAAAAGAGAAGCAAACCAAAAACAGAAAAGAGTACTTAGCTCGCGATGTTCGTTCACTCGCACTTAAGTCTGCCTACGTCAATCGCATAGCTAGCTTCCTCGCCTTCTCAGTAGCTCCTCATTAGAACTCAACCTGATGATAAGAGATACAAACCAATATCCGATGCAAAAAGAAAAAGAAAGAAAAGAAAAACTAACCTACAAACTCGGGTTGCTTCCCGGAAGCGCTTGTTTAAGGTCATTAGCTTGACCGAACCTTCTCAACTACCATACGGGTCTAAGAGGCGAATATTATCGATCTTTCGCCAACCTGGATCATGAAGTATAGGAGCATAATGGTCTGAGAACATAGTCACCTGTTTAACTGAGTGAGATGGGTCGTGAATGCCCATGTGAGGTGAAAACGAGTCATGTGGCTGATTAAGGTCCTGACACGATCGTGTGGAAATGGAAGACCCGATCGGGTGAATCATCTGTAACTTTGAACTTCGGATCAGCGCTGGGACAGGATCGTGTTGCGCAGTAAACACGACCGGGTCAACTTCATGTGTCTTTCATTTCTCGTTCAAGGATGAGACACGATCGTGTGGTGGGGATGACACGATCGGGTCAGACTGCTGAATTTTTTCGGAAGTTGATGTACCGTCAACACGATCATGTTGCAAAAGGGACACGATCGGGTCAGTTGGCTGATTCGCGCATACAACATTGCGGCTTCGGACACGATCGTGTGACGAGCTAGACACGATCGTGTCTGTAGATGACGATTGCTTTAGATTTTTGTCCAGATTAAATTCTACCATCTCATCGCCAATCTTCATAGTGAGTCGACCTGCTCGAACATGAATGATAGCATCTACAGTGTTAAGGAATGGACGACCAAGAATTATAGGTACCTTAGAGTCTTCGTCCATGTCGAGAACCACGAAGTCAACCGGGATATAGAAGTTCCCAACTTTCAGTGGCGCATCCTCAAGTATCCCAGCAGGGCATTTAATGGAACGATCAGCTAGTTGAAGAGTCATTCTAGTGGGTTTTAGCTCATCCACATTCAGCTTCTTGAAGATCGATAATGGAAGAAGACTAACGTCGGCTCCTAGATCACAGAATGCACGATCGATGGAAACATTACCCAATTTACAAGGGATTGAGAAACTACCTGGATCGGACTGCTTAAGTGGAAGCTATGTTGGATCAAAGAGCTGCATTCGGCAGTAAGCGCTACGGTTTCTTTCTCAACGACCCTCTTTTTGATCAGGATGTCCTTCAAATACTTCGTGTATGAGGGAATCTGCAAAATAGCATTAGTGAATGGCATGGTTACCTCGAGTTTCTTCGGCATCTCAACAAACTTTGCGAATTGGCTGTCTTCGTTATGCTTCCTCAAGCGAGATGGAAATGGTACTGCTGGTGACTTATGAGGAGGAGGCAAGTAAGCCGGTTCAGGTTCATCATCGTGGATGTCTACAACTGCAGTCTTCGAGCTTTTTCCTCGCTCAACCATCGGTCGGTCTTCAACGTCTACCTGCTTACCACTTCTCAAAGTAATCGCATTGACATGTTCACGGGGGTTAGTCTCAGGCTTACCTGGAAGAGATCCGGATGGTCTTTGAGAGGCTGATGCTAGCTGAGCGATATGGTTGTCTATGATCTTGAAGTGAGCATCGATGCTTGCGAACTGAGCTCGAAATTCCTGATTTGTCTTTTCCTGATTCTGTATAAACTGTATAAGCAAAGTGTGCATATCAGGGTTGGATTCAGGATTACCTGGAGGTGTGGAATTAATATAGGATTGCCCCGGAGCTCTGTAGTTGGATGTCTGATTAGGACCCCTAGACTGAAAAGCAAAACTGGGAGGAATCCTCTGGTTCGAGTTGTCGGATGCTCTGAAGTTGTTCGGCACGGGATTCTCCACATTGTTTGACTTGTAGGAGAGATTGGGATGATTCTTCCACCCTGGATTGTACGTGTTCGAGTAGGCGTTATTGGCCACGTAGTTTACACCTTCGACTCTCTCATCCAACGCGTACATACCAAGCTCCTCTTGTGTTGGCATCAAATGCTTGGTCCTAGAGTGTCGGTTGGAATCTTCGAGCTTAGCATTTAGGACAGCCAATTGTTCAAGAACCATCTGTATGGTCTGATCATTGCATTCCCTTGGCGGATCTCTAGAGTACTCGCTCGGGGCGTCTTCTTCTTGGGCCATCATCTCAATATGATCTTCTAGCTCAGCGAATGACTTGTTCTGGATGCTCCCACCACACGAAGCTCGGATCAAAGTCTTGGTATCCATTCTGAGTCCCCGGAAGAAGGTGTTGATCAAGTAGTTCTTGTCAAGCCCGTGATGAGGGCAAGACTTCTGATATCCTTTGTACCTCCTCCAAGCTTTATAAAGGCTTTCCCCATGATCCTGCTTGAATGAATGAATGCCAGAAAGAGCTGCTTGAGTGCGGTGAGGTGGGAAAATTTTTGACATAAACTGCACTTCCAACTGTTCCCAGGTGTGGATGGAATCGGGTGTCAGATCATAGCACCATTCCAAAGCAGTATCCAAGAGAGTCCAAGGAAAAGCAATCAGTCGGAGTGTATTCTCTATCACCCTGTTATCTCTCTTGATAGAACGACACATCATCTTAAAGCGAGTTAGATGTGCGTTCGGGTCTTCGTTCGGCCTACCCCGGAAAGCATTATTGCCCAACATCTGAATAGTAGACGAGTTCAGCTCGAAACTAGACATGTCGATGGCCGGTAGTCGAATACCAGCCAAAAGCTCAGTGTGCTTAGCGTGTTGTACTGGGCAAAGGTTGAGTCAGCATTGCCCTCGGCACCATCGGGAAGAGCAAAATCTCGGTCATTCTCCATTTGTCTTCGTTGACGTCGGATGTATCTAACGGTCCTTTCAAGCTCACAATCAAGAGGTACTAGGTCTGATGTCCCAGCACTCCTGGTCATGCACTAGAAAAACCTGTGCACCAAACGAAAAACAACAACAAACAAAGAAAACGTGAGAGATCACCTAAGAAAAAGAAAAAGAAAAAGAAAAAGATCCAGACTAGATAGGATCTAACCCTGTTGCCTAAATTGTCCCCGACAACGGCGCCAAAAACTTGATGTCGTAAATCTAGGTGCAGAATTATGATCAAGTAATAATATTCCTAGACTCAACAATTAACCGCAAGTGTACGGATCGTGTGTAGTAGCTAGGGTCGAACACAGGGACAAGTAGACAACGGAATCAAATCCAAATCTAAATCCAAATCCAGAGAAAATAATGAGTGTGAGAGTGTAACAAAACAAACAAGAAAAACAAATGTAAACTATGAATGATGAACACTGCAGGCTTCGGGATTGCTTTACATGCAAGGATCTTTCAAAAGATGCAAACTTAATGGTTTATCTATCCAGTTCAGGGAATTCAAGCTCTAAGGTAGAGATCAACTCTTCCAAGTCTAATCTCACTATCTAGGTTTAATCCTACCAATCTCCGATTCGATAGTCTAAAACTCTGGATGCATGAACGAACGCTATCATAATTCCTAGGCAAATACCCATCTTCCAATGCGATACCTGTTCTATTTATTGAATTAGTTCCAGGTTAGAATCTCATATGTCTATGTGAATTAAAACCCTAAGTTCATTCAACCAAGTGGCCAACGAGATCAAAAGCATTAAGAACAATTCAATAAACTGGATGGAATAAACAAATCCAAAAGTTTGGAATTAAATACCAAAGATCCCTATATAGCAAATCCCTAACCTACAGCTATGAGACTACTCGCTAAACATCGAGACGTCGGGGTTCATATCAATAACACAAAACATCGTAAAATAGAAGAAAGGAAGAATGCTTAGTCGATTTTCCAGCTTCGTAATCTCCGTCTTCTACTCCGATCTCTTGCCTCTTGATAATCTTCCTCTTCTTTGTGCTCTAGGGTGTGTTTTCTGTGAAAAGTCTGAATGTTTTCGACCTTGGGGGCTAACCCTACTTAATCCTTCTTTTTCTGGGCTAAAATTTAGAATATTTCCAAAATCTGGTAAGTGACCCGATCGTGTGACTGAGAGTGACACGATCGTGTCACTTAACAGTTTTGGCGGGCTTCACAAATTTGCTCATAACTTCCTGCTCCGACATCGGATTTGAATGATCTTGGTGTTTATGCGTAGATATCGAAGAGAGCTTTCCAATGACGTAGAGAATGCATGATTTGGACTTTAGAGTGAAAGTTATTGGACTTGCAAGATCTGACGTTTTCTGAGCTTCACGTTTTCCCTGGAGACACCCCAAATGTTCCCGGTTCGTCCGTGATGTTCCGTATTCCATGTTTTCCACTCCTTTTGCTCTTTTTATGTGTGGATTCCTGTTTAAACACCAAAGAACACAACCAACCAATATCGAAGCCAAATGTGCCCTAGAATGTCTACAAATATATAGAATCGAGTGAAATACGCTAGACATCCTATATCAAAATATCACCCAAAATATGTGTTATCAGTCCCCTAGACGGCACGTCCGAGATTTAAGCTAGTTGTACACATTCTGTGAGTTCTCGCATTCCCTGTTGTGAAGTTAAACGTACTGGAAAGTCTGATCTGTATGTTGGCACAAGAGTTTGGTTAAAATCCCTAAGGACAATCCAGGGAGACTGAGTAACAAGAGGGTATCGGCCAATGAGCGTTAGGTGTTCCCATAGGATTCTACGCTCACTCATAAGTGTGGAGGCGTAAACAAAGGTAGCAGTAAGTGTTATACCCGACCCTCTGTTTTCAATTCCACAAGTGACTGCCTGTTTGGTGTGGAAGTAGATCGTGACTAAGGTTGTTGGTTCCCATACAATCTAAACCCGAGCTGTATTATGGTCTCCAAAAAAACAGACATGTTTCCACCTAAGTGGTAACGCAGCAGAAATTCTCTCAAAATTTGCCTCTTGGATGTGAGTTTCAAGAAGGGCTGCCACTAGTGGTTGCTTCTCCAAAATCCACTTCCTAGTCAAAAATCTTTTATTCGGGCTATTTAAGCCTCTTATATTCCAAGCAAAAAGCATAGGAATCTGGAAAGTTAATACCCTTTCGTGGACTTGCGCCCACGACCTCTTGATTTTGCCTTAGCTGGACTATTCTTGGTCGGCTGTCTACTCATGGTCGGTTGGCTCGGAGTAGTGGTAGGCGGATCCAGAAGACATGGGGAAGAAGTTTCTGCAACCTCCTTGGTAGACTGAACTTGGATAGTTCCCGAGGGGTGTGCAGCAATCGAGTCTTCTGTGGGCAGGATAGGGGATTTGGAAGCCTCCTCGCATGATCCAAGTGTTGGGATTCCCGATGAAGGGGGTGATGACTCGGAATTATATGGTGGATCAGCTGGCTTCTCTTGGATAGTCTGATGATTCCTTGAGCCAGACTGAGCCTCTGGTTGCTTCGTTGAAGCCCGCGGGGGGGGGGGGGGGACAGGGCAATGATGTTGGTTATGGCCAAGCACGGAGCAATGGTTGCATGTGGGGGGCAGCCAATCATATGAGACATCAATCACAAAATCTTCTCCTTTTGGTGACTTGACCATAATACTTCTAGGTGGTTGCAGCCGAAGGTTAACGTCCACATAGATGCGAGCAGCCGATATATTCTCTTTATTTGTTGTTGCTCCAAGTCGAGATCGAGGTCAGCTCGGGTTTTGTCGGAGTATGGAAGGGGTTCCATGGAGAAACGAACATAGGACATGCCCCAATGTGCCAAATGCTTCTGCTCAAGGCAAGTTCCCTTGTTCTGCGGTTCGGCATCTTGAATAAGAAAGTACCATGACCGACATCTTGCACTTTGACTCTCGGGCCAGTGCGCGACCAAAGAGCCTGAGAAACCCCAATGATTCTACCCATGGAGGGTGGTAGTCCGTAGAATTGTCCTACCACAAAGTCTGCCCATTCGTCAGCTGCTGTTGTCAGTGATTCGACCGGTATTTCGATCAGAGGAATTTAACTGGCGTGTGTTTTCGGCGAGCCTACCCGCTGCAGAGGCCGAAGGGACTGCTGGAGTTTCTCGCTCCATGTTGACGGTGGTTTCAGGGGAGCTTCCCCTCCGGGGATAACGTGCGATATAGAAATCGTAGGTGAAGTTCTCGTCGGGACAGAGGAGGGAGGCTGAGAGCCGGTCAGACCGGAATCAGGAGCTGTGGCCAGAGACTGCTGGAGTTTCTCACTCCATGTCACCGGCAGTTTCGGGGGAGCATCCACCGTGGATGCGACTTCCGGTGTGGCAGCGGCAGGTGGAGGTCTGGCCGGAGCAGAGAAGGGGGGCATGGAGACGGATTGACCGAAGGAAGATGTAAGAGGCGGGGAGCTCGGAAAGCCAGAACTGGAGGTCGCAGGTGGAGATCTAGACGAGCCAGGGCCGGCGGCACGGGCTGGAGGCCCAGAGAGGGTTCCGATGCCGCGTGCCTCGCGGACGGCAGAGGAGGCAACGGCTGCTTCTGGTTGCAGCAGCTAGGTCGATCTTCGGTGGGAGATGGAGGACAGATCTCCGTCACACGAACTGCGAGAGTAGCAGGAGGAGGAGAAGAAACCTCCGGCGTACGAGCACCGGAAGCGACCAAGGAAGAAGGAGGGGGATTTCTTGGTGTGGGCCCTAAAATCCCTGGTGATGGAGGAGCTGACGAAGAACGAAGGCGTGGAGGCATGGTCAAAGAGATGGAGGCTGGCCGGAGTCAGCCCTGTGCGGTGGCGAACAATTCTTCAGTGGCGGCAGCTAGGGTTCACTGGGAACCCTTCACCAACTTTGTCTTGAACAAGAACATTGAACTTGCAGTAACATTGTAGTCATCTTCGGTCCAGAAACATAATTATAGCATTTAGAAGAACAAGAGGTTATGAAGATCCGTTCTATTGACAAGAAGAGGCGAATCCATCAGTTCAATGACGGTAACGTCGGAGAGACCGAGATGGGTTAAAGCCATGGCGGCGTGTCCGATGTCGGCGAAGACACAGAAGGCCGGTTACGGAGGTGACCCGGGTGATGAAAATGGAGGAAGAAGGATGAGAAAGAGGAGAGACGTGATTGCCAAGTCTTAGAGGACCAAAGGCAAGAGTTCTTCTTAGGGAGAAAGATATTGACGAGGAGATAAATCGCAGAAGGATTTGGAAAAATGGATATGTGGCTTCAATGGAGCGTTTGGAGGGATGTATGTCTTCGATGTTTGAAGGATTAAAACTACCATTATCGATGTTCCTATGATTATGAATGCCATTAAAATTTTCTGTAAAAGTTTTTGATGTCTTTCAATGGTTGATGGAGAGAGAAATTATTCTGTTTATTATAGTGACATTTTACCTCCAATAATCTGATCCCACATATGTGTATTATTTCACACGTTTTTTCATTAAGGTTATCATAGTTTTTTTCTGTTTTTTTAAGGGTAAGATTGTATTTTGCTAATTCTTTATATTTTAGAGGTGTATCAATGAAAGTCATGTGACGGGTTAGGTGTATTACTGAAGTTTACCCCACTCATCCCTCCATCGAGAACCCAGAAACTCCTCTGCACCTCTTCCAAACCAAAAACCATAGCACCTACTCGATCCCACTCTCCCCCTCTCCACCGCCGTTCCTCCTCTCGCATCAGAGGAAAAGCCCCATCGCACTCATCCCGTTCCCCCCTCCCTACCCCTCATCACCGAACTATGGTCTCCAAATTTCCCCTACCGAACACCCCTCGTTTCACTCCACATCCGAACCCTCCCCACAGACCCTCCACCCTGACGATTTCCCCCCTTTACCCTCAAATCTCCATCGCTCTCCCATCCCACCTTCCCAGCCTTCACCATGTCAGCCAAACATTTTGGCATCTCAAACACCAGATCTTGACCACCCCGAAACTA